GCTGGTGGTTGACTCTGTCAAAGGCCTTTGAAAAATCACCATACATCACGTCCAATTGACCTCTGTTATCCAAAGCCTGAGATATATCTTGGGAATAGCAAGTTAAATTCGTTAAAGTGGATCTGCCCATGGTAAACCCATGTTGGCCCTCATTTACTAACAACTTAGTTTGGAAGGAGATCTGATTAAAAAGAATACGTTCAAATATTTTTGAAAAATTGCACAGCAACGAAATAGGTCTATAATTGCTCACTGCTGAAACATCACCACTCTTGAAAATGGGCACAATCTTGGCGGTTTTCCACTTATCCGGAAAGCATGAAGTTTTTAAAATTATATTAAAGATATGCATTAGGGGCTTAACGAAAACATTAGAACAGTCTTTAACCAGAAAACTGGGAACTTGATCATCTCCAGCAACTTGATTATCCTTAAGTAATTTTATTGCCCTGCTTACATCATCTTCAGAAATAACCACATTAATGCAACTATTACTAATACCTGTAAGCTGACTTGAATGAGCAAAACTATTCAATGAAGGATTATGAAAAGACGAAGAAAAGAATTTAGCAAAGCAATTAACAATATCAGCTGGGTTATCATGAAAATTATGGTTAAGGTGAACTTTATTGGGAATATTGGAGCGCCCCTTTTTTTCTTTGATATACGACCAGAAGTATTTAGGATCACGCAGTAAAGCATGCTGAACATTTTTAATGTAGTTATTAAAATCCCGACGCAAGAGTTGTTTAACAATACGACGTAAAGAACTGAAGTGATTTCGAAGATGACAGGAAGGCTTTCGTTTGATTTCTCTAAACACTTTATGCTTCAGAATGATTTGTTGTCTAAGTTCAGTAGTATACCAACTCGGGAAACTGAATTTGGAACATTTAAACAATGGTACATGTTTATCAAACAATGAGTACAATATTCTGTATAACGTCTCACAGGCACTATTCACATTAGTGGACTCATACAGGACATCCCAATTAGTGGTTAATAGACCATTATATAAAGAAACATAGTCCGCCTTTTTAAAGTTATAAGTTTTTACATCTGTACACATAGACAAATTTTCGTAGGTACCAGTTTTTAAAACCAAATTAATATTAAGCGCAGGATGGTGTCGATCTTCTGGCACAATAGGACAGGTGTCCTGTTCAACCAAACATTTGCCGTAATTGGTAAAAACTAAGTCCAGTAATACCTTATTACAGTTACGAATATTGTTATACTGTGTAAGGTTCAAAAAAGACATCATATTAAATACTAAATTAGATTTTGAATCCTTTACATTATTCGAAAAAGTAGGAGCATTGAAGTCACCAATTATAAGAATATTATCTAATTCAACAGCAATATTTTCAAAACATTCTAAAAATAATTCATATTCTTGAATGGACACATCCGGAGGAATATATATCACAAAAATAAATAAAGAACTACGTCCACAACATAACTTACAAGCAACTATATCAATAAGATGAAAAGCGTCGAAAACTGATAAATCAACACTCGACACAGGAAATTTGTCACTAACTGCTAAGACCACCCCTCCACCTCTTTGCCGATTACTACATGTAAAATTACGATCGGCACGAAACACACAATAACTAGATGGCATAAATTCACAATTACTGATTGATGAGTCAAGCCATGACTCAGTTAAACAAATGACATCATAATCCGAAACATTTAAACAAAAAAATACCTCATTAACTCTGACCTAATGCTGCGAACATTTTGGTAATAAATAGGTAGATAATCATTACCACAACTGTTGGGCCGGTTTAGTTTAAAGTAACATTCGTCGCTCTCTTCATGATGGAGTTTCTTCAAATTAACTCCGTCCCTGCATTTTTTCCTAAAAAATTCTTCTTTGGAAAATTAAACCGTCTTACACACACACCTTGTGGCCAAAAATCTTCACGTAATAAATTGTCCTTCAGACTAAAGTTTACACCAACTTTAAAGGCATCATATGTTCCCTGCAGCTTAAGATTTTCGACTATGACCTCATCAGTGGACAACTTTTTGGTTATATAAGCTTTGACACTACTAGTCTCAATGTTTTTAACAACTTTTCCGACGTAGAACCATGCTCTTTTAACGTAAGTAGAACGAAATTCACCATCATCTTCTTGCTTCGAAGTTCCAGTTATAGTGGGTACTTGTTTTCTACGATTGCTTCGATTTCTTCTTAGTTCCATCCACGGATTTTCCACTTTGTCATGAAAATTTATTTCGTCGTCCCTACTCACACGAAATTCATCTGTTTGTTTATTGGTAACAGTAGTTGACTCCTTTTTTTGAATTTTCTTTCCACGATTTCTTGCGCTGTTCTTGTTATCGTTATCGGTGCTTCTCTCACCTTCAGTGAAAGGTTTATTCAAGTTCACATCAACTTTATCACGAAAATTCGGAAAATGTAATGACTGACTTGGCTTATCAATTGATTGTGTAACGACTGACGACCATTTAGGAACTGTAGATTTTATTTCTTGAGAAGAAAAGAGCTTTGGAGCAAGACTGGGGTTACTTTGTGTCATTAATTTAATCAAGTCCACATTAGTTTCTTTTAAATCTCGAACTTCCATACGCAACAACTCAATTTCATGCATTAAGGGCCGAGTTACCTTTTGGATAATCTTTTCAATATCTTCATGGGAAAATTCAAATATTTGCGACTTGTTACTTGCATTATCCACACTTTCACCATTATCGCAACAAAACTACAGGAAGAAAAGACGACAAAAACATGCAAATTATAAAAAAAGGATAAATAACGTGACGAGAATAAAAGTCCAAATATCGCGACAAAAATGATCGAATAAGAAGAACACAAAAAATAGAATAAAATGGGACCAGAAATAAGGCAAAAATAGAACTAAAATAAAGCAATAAGAAAAAATTCTCAAAAAAACAAGAAAAACAGGTGATAAGAAAAGGTAGCAAAAAATGGTGATAAAAAAGACAAAAAAAAGAAAGCAAAAAAAAAATGCGAAAAAAGCAGGAATAAGAAACTAAAAAAGACGCAACAATAAAATTTTGAGGAAAAAAACGACAAAAACAAGGAGAATGGGGGTAAAAAAGGGGTGAAAAAACGTTTAAATAAGAGAACACAAAAAAATACAAAAAAAGTGAGAACAAAAGGCGGCAAAATACGAGATCAAAATAAAAAGGGATAAAAAATGCGAAAAATCGACAAAAAGGTGATATAAAAGGTCGAATTAAAGGTGACAACAAAGGAAAATGAAAAAAAAACACGATAAAAATAGAGACAAAAAATTCTACAGGAGAAAAATCTAAAACATGGGGATTAAAAAGGGGGAAAATACGACAAAAATGACCATAAAAAATAACAAAAAAGCGCTAAAATAAACGCTCAAAATAAAAAGGCGTAAAAAGAGACGAAAAGGATGATTCAAAGGCGACAAAAACAAGTACTAAAAACGAGCCGAATAAAGAGGGGGACAAAAAGAGCAAAAAAAATGCGAAAACAAGGGCAAAAAACACCAATAATACGCATCAAAGAAGGCGACAAAATAGATCAAAAAAGAGGACACGAAAAAGCAAAAATAAGGAAAAAAGTTACCCAAAAAATGAAACAAACAAACTCGAGGGAGAAAAAGCGACAAAACATGAAAACATGCAGATAAAATAGATAGAAAAAAAGGGAAAAAAACGTGATAAGAAAAAACCCAAACAAGCTACAAAAAAATCCAAAGAAAATCACAAAAATGCAAAAGCGTAAAGAAAACACGAAAAAAAGCGGCAAAAACAAGTGCAATAAAAGAGGGGAAAAGTACAAAAAAGGAGACAAAAAAAAGAAGAAGGCAAGAAAAGGCGAAAATAAGGAAAAAAGTTAGGTACACAAAAGGGCGATAAAAAAGAATAAAGATGACAAAAACATGCATATTATTAAAAAAAACAAAAGTAAAAAATTGGTCAAAAAGAAAAGAAAAAACACGGAAAAAATGTTACAAAACCGGTGAAAAAATAGGCGACATGAAAAGGTATTAAAAAATGGTGATAAAAAAGGAGACAAAAAAAAAGGAGGAAAAAGAAGCCAAAAAAGCCACAACAATAAAAATTTGAGGAAAAAGTGAAGAAACGCTTAAAAAATCCACAAAAAAATTACAAAAAAGCGAAAAAATACGCGATCAAAATAAAAGGGAAGTCAAAAAGATGCGAAAAAGCGACAAGCAGGGTGTCAAAAAGGTAATAGAAAAGAAAAACACACGATAAAAAATGTGATAAAGAAAAGAGACAAAAAACGTTACAGGAGAAAGATCTAAAACATGGGCATTAAAAAGACGACAAAAAAAGCGATAAAACAAACGTTCAAAATAAAAAGGCGTAAAAAGAGGCGAAAAGGACAATAAAAAGGCAAATAAAAGATGAAAACAACAGAAATTGGGGAAAACCGCTGCAATAAAAAATTACAAAAAAGGAACCAAAAACTCTACAGAAAAAAACGTCTTGGAAAAAATTCCAAAAAAAAGACGAAAAAAGCTCCAAAAAGTATAGAAAAAGCGAAGAGAAGATAAGGCAGTCAAAAAAAAAACACGATAAAACAAGACAATGAAAAAAGAGTCGACAAAAAGCTAAAAAATTGGGTATTTTGGGTAGGAGTGACCAGCAAAAGTGTGAGTTGACGTCAATAAATTGTTGGGAGGGGATGATCAGACAAATTTTGGTTAGCGTTTTAACAAGCAGTCCAGTAATTTCCCCATATAGACCCTAATACAATACTTTCCTAGTTTATATTCGGGAAGTAAAATCAAAGACAAACTTTTCAATTTGGTTGTGAAAAACTGAAAAACTAATAGTAATAGATGAAATATAATAACAAATGTGATTAATTTTATTAATAAAATAAATAAATAATTATTTACGTGTTGTTCTCCGAAGCTTTGTATATGCAACCAACAATGCACGAAAATAGTGATTTTTGTAAATATTGTCTACCCTGCTCTCGTGTCAAAACTGTCAAATATAGGTGTCAAATGTCATCCCATTTCTACATGCCGCAGACGGATTTAACAAGAAATGTAAATCCAACAGACACCCTGAGGCATACAAGTAACAAAACAGCCATTTTAGATATGTAGGTAACAATATCAACACTAAAATTCTCAAAAGTAACTCTTCCATAACCTCACTTTCAGCTACAACCTTGAAATGAAACAATCAGAACCAAATCTCCACCACTGCAAATACTGCCTCTACCAAACCCCCTTCCAAAGCAGCCTAGTCCACCACGAAAAAACCCACTTCCAAAAACACTCACCCTTCGACTGCACCCACAAACCCCGCCACTACAAATGCCCCACTTGCGATTTCAAAACCGAACTTCTCGTAACTCTAAACCACCACACCAGAACCCACCACCCGTGCACCCAAGACGCCGACCGCTTCCACCTCTCCGACTTCACCAACATCTACGTGTGCACAGAATGCCAGTTCGAGACCAGCTCGAAACTGCTTTGGATAGCCCACAGCGCCAAGAAAGTCAAGTTGAGGTGGCTGCAGTGCAGTTTGTGCGCTTTCAAGACCCAGAACTGGCGCTACATCAAAACGCACGTGCTCATCCAGCACAAGTGTCCGAAACTGCTCAAGTGGTTCGAATGTGCGCAGTGTGCGTACAAGTCCAAGTACAAGAATAATTTGCGCACACATATTATGAATCAGCACTCGCAGTCGCAGGAGCGCTATCAGTGCGAGTTTTGTTCGTTCTCGGTGAAGCAACGGGGGAATTTGAAGCGGCACGTGCTGTTGGCGCACTCGGATCCGACTAGCGTGGAGTGGTTTAAGTGCGAGCTGTGTTCTTATAGGGCTAGGCATAAGTTTATTTTGAGGAAGCACGTGATGATAAAGCACAGCCCCCCGGAGATGGTTAAGTGGTTTCAGTGTGAGCGCTGTCCTATGAAGTACAAAACACGGAATCACTTGTCGGCGCACGTCCTCACGAAGCACAACCCCAACGCTAAGTGGTATGTAATGTTTCATTTGTGTAATCTATATCTATGAGGGTGATAAAGTATAAAAAAATTAATTTAAATCATTTAAATAAAATTTATTAGTACTCGGGAATCACCCTGTATACCCAGAATACAACTAGTTCTACTTTTAATTATTCCAATATTGATTACTCTACTCTTTTCCCTACTCTACTATCAATTCACACCTAATTTTAGGGTGCGGATGACATACTTTTGTACTTGTGGTTTATGAATCCACTTTTATTTTTGATGTCAATAAAAAATTACCGTATAATTTTTTATAAATAAATCGTAAATAAACTTCATAAATAAGTTTTTATTCTATCAAGGGTGCAAGAAGATATAGGGAGAGGAAGAACTTTATATTTGTTCTAAATTAGTTTATGAATATTTTTATTGATAATTCGTCCGTAAATAATTCTAAATAATTAAAAATCGAGAAATTGAAAAAATCAACAAAAAGAAACAATTTTGCAGTTTTTCGATGTAAATTTTTCAAATTCTCAATTTTTAGTTCTTTATTCTCTCGATTTTTCATTTTTTAATTGTTCAACAAAAGGACAAATTTATTCAAACCGAAATTTTGAAAAATTTAAAAATCTATAAATTGTAACATTTGAGACGTCTAAAAATTATAAAATTGAAAAATCAAAAAATTTAAAAATTGAGAAGTCGAAGAATTGGAAAAACCGAAAAAATGAGAATCAAAAATTGAAACTTGAAATTTCGAAAAATTTCAAAATTGAAAAATCGAAAAATAGAAAAATGAGAAATTAAACAAGTGGATAATTGATAAAACAATTGAAACATCGAGAAATTGAAAAATTGAAAAAACGAAAAACAAACATTGCATAAATTAAATAATCAAAAATACTAAAATTTTTTATTTAACAAAATCCAAAGATTTTAAAATGAAACTTGAAATATTGAAAAATTGAAAAATCGAAAAATGTAAAAATTAAGAAATTGAATTGGATAATTGAAAAATCGAAAAATTGTAATATTGAAACCTCAAAATCCTGATAAATAAAAAATCGAGAAATTGAAAAATCGACAAAACGAAGCAATTCTGCAATTTTTTGATATAAAATTTTTCAAATTCTCGATTTTTCATTTTTTAATCGTACAACAAAAAGGCAAATTTATTCAAACTGAACTTTTGAAAAACAGGAAAATTGTAACACTAAAACATCAAAAAACCAACGAAGAATTGAAAAAATAAAGAAAACTTGAAAAAACCGAACAAATGACACTTAAAAACTGAAAAATGAAACTTGAAATATCGAAAAATTTAAAAATTGAAAAATCGAAAAATGAAAAAATTGAGAAAACAATTGAAAAATCGTTTTCGCTTCCTCGTTTTTAGATTGTCCGGTTTTTCGATTTTTTGAAATTAATTTTTCAGTTTTTCGATGTTTCGATTTTCCACTTTTTCGGTTTATGGTTTATCCGTCTTTTTAAGTTAAAATTTTTCAATTATGAATTTTTCCCATTTTTCAATTTTCCAATTTTTCAACGTTTCAATTTTGGGATTTTTCGATTTCTTAATTTCTCGATTAATGGATTTTTTTATTGTTCTTTCCTTTTTCTTGATTTCTTAATTTCTCAAGTTTTCAAAGTTTAAGTTTTGGAATTTTTAAATTTTGGGATTTTCGATAGATATTTCGATTTTTCAAAATTTTGAGACTTTTAAATCTTCCAATTTTCGATTTTTTAATTTTTTGATTTTTCGATTCGTTAATGTTTTGATTTCTCGATTTTGTAAATTTTCAATTTTTCGAATTTTTAAAATTCTAGATTTTTCACTATTTTGTTGTTTCGATTTTTTGGGTTCTCATCTTTAAATTTTTCGGAATTAATTTTTCAGTTTTTCGATATTTCGATTTTTCAATTTTTCGATTTATCGGGTCTTTTAAGTTTAAATTTTTCAATTTTGAATTTTCCCATTTTTTGATCTTTAGCCGTTTCGATATCTCAATTTTTCGATTTTTCGAGTTCTCGAGTTATCGATTTTTTGATATTTCAATTTCGCGTTTTTTCAGTTTTTCGATTTCGATTTCTCAATTGTTCAGTTTTAAAATTCTTCCTGTTTTCGACTATTTGTTTTTTCAATTTTTCCATGTTTTAGTTTTGGGATTTATGTATGTATATGGATTTTTCGATTTTTCAATTTTTAGCGTTTCTAAATTTTTTGATTTTTCGATTTCTCAATTTCTCCGATTAATGGATTTTTTTTACTTTTTTTTCCTTTTTTCAATTTCTGAAATTTTCAAAGTTTAAGTTTTGGGATTTTGAAATTTTGGGATTTTTCAATATATATTTCGTTTAAATTTTCAGATTTTCCGACTTTCGGTTTTTTGAGTTTTTATTTATTCGATTTTTCAAAATTTTGCGACTTTTTAAACTTTACATTTTTCGATTTTTCAATTTTCTGATTTTTCGATTTGTTGATGTATTGATTGCTGGATTCATATTCAATTTATTGAATTTTTAAATTTTAGGTTTATCACTTTTTTGTTCTTTCGATTTTTTGCCGTCTCGTTTATAGACTTTTCGATTTTTCATTTTTCGGAATTAATTTTTCAGTTTTTCGATATTTCGATTTTTCAATTGTCGATTTAACGGTTTCGTTTCGATTTTTCGCCTTCTCGATTTTAGATTTTCCGGTTTTTCAATTTTTCGGAATTAATTTTTCAGTTTTCCAATTTTTCAACGTCTCTAATTTTTTGGATTTTTCGATTTCTGAATTTCTCGATTTCTCTATTTAAGTTTTGGGATTTTTCAATTTTGTAATTTTTCAAGATTTCCATTTTTAAATTTCTAGATTTTTCGACTTTCGGTTTGGATTTTTCGATTTCTCAATTTCTCGGTTAATCGATTTTTTAATTTTCCAATTTTTCAATTTCTCAATGTTTCGAAGTTTTGGGATTTTTCAATTTTGTAATTTTTCAAGATTTCGATTATTAAATTTCTAGATTTTTCCACTTTCGGTTTCTTTGATTTTTTACTTATTCGATTTTTCAAAATATTGCGACTTTTTAGCCACTTCCATTTCTCAATTTTTCGATTTCCCGGTTTTTCACTTTTTTGTTGTTTCGACTTTTTGCCTTTTCGTTTATGGATTTTTCGATTTTTCAATTTTTCAGAATTAATTTTTCAGTTTTTCTAGATTTTTGGATTTTTCGATTTCTTAATTTCTCGATTAATCGATTTTTTAATTTTCCAATTTTTAGATTTCTCAATGTTTCGATTTCTCTGTTTAAGTTTTGGGATTTTTCAATTTCGTAATTTTTCAAGATTTCGATTTTCAAATTTCTAGATTTTTCCACTTTCGGTTTCTTAGATTTTTTACTTAATCGATTTTTCAAAATATTGCGACTTTTTAGCCACTTCCAGTTTTCAATTTTTCGATTTCCCGAGTTTTCACTTTTTTGTTGTTTTGATTTTTTGCCTTCTCGTTTATAGATTTTTCGATTTTTCAATTTTTCAGCATTACTTTTTCAGTTTTTCTAAATTTTTGGATTTTTCGATTTCTCAATTTCTCGATTAATCGATTTTTTAATTTTCCAATTTTTAGATTTCTCAATGTTTCGATTTCTCTGTTTAAGTTTTGGGATTTTTCAATTTTGTAATTTTTCAAGACTTCGATTTTTGAATTTCTAGATTTTTCCACTTTCGGTTTCTTTGATTTTTTTACTTATTCGATTTTTCAAAATATTGCGACTTTTTGGCCACTTCCATTTTTCAATTTTTCGATTTCCCAGTTTTTCACTTTTTTGTTGTTTCGACTTTTTGCCTTCTCGTTTATGGATTTTTCGATTTTTCAATTTTTCAGAATTAATTTCTCAGTTTTTCTAAATTTTTGGATTTTTCGATTTCTCAATTTCTCGATTAATCGATTTTTTAATTCTCCGATTTTTCGATTTCTCAATGTTTCGATTTCTCTGTTTAAGTTTTGGGATTTTTCAATTTTGTAATTTTTCAAGATTTCGACTTTTAAATTTCTAGATTTTTCCACTTTCGGTTTCTTTGATTTTTTTACTTATTCGATTTTTCAAAATATTGCGACTTTTTGGCCACTTCCATTTTTCAATTTTTCGATTTCCCAGTTTTTCACTTTTTTGTTGTTTCGACTTTTTGCCTTCTCGTTTATGGATTTTTGGATTTTTCAATTTTTCAGAATTAATTTTTCAGTTTTTCTAAATTTTTGGATTTTTCGATTTCTCAATTTCTCGATTAATCGATTTTTTAATTCTCCGATTTTTCGATTTCTCAATGTTTCGATTTCTCTGTTTAAGTTTTGGGATTTTTCAATTTTGTAATTTTTCAAGATTTCGACTTTTAAATTTCTAGATTTTTCCACTTTCGGTTTCTTTGATTTTTTACTTATTCGATTTTTCAAAATGTTGCGATTTTTTAGCCACTTCCATTTTTCAATTTTTCGATTTCCCAGTTTTTCACTTTTTTGTTGTTTCGACTTTTTGCCTTCTCGTTTATGGATTTTTCGATTTTTCAATTTTTCAGAATTAATTTCTCAGTTTTTCTAAATTTTTGGATTTTTCGATTTCTCAATTTCTCGATTAATCGATTTTTTAATTCTCCGATTTTTCGATTTCTCAATGTTTCGATTTCTCTGTTTAAGTTTTGGGATTTTTCAATTTTGTAATTTTTCAAGATTTCGACTTTTAAATTTCTAGATTTTTCCACTTTCGGTTTCTTTGATTTTTTACTTATTCGATTTTTCAAAATGTTGCGATTTTCTAGCCACTTCCATTTTTCAATTTTTCGATTTCCCAGTTTTTCACTTTTTTGTTGTTTCGACTTTTTGCCTTCTCGTTTATAGATTTTTCGATTTTTCAATTTTTCAGAATTAATTTTTCAGTTTTTCTAAATTTTTGGATTTTTCGATTTCTCGATTTCTCGATTAATCGATTTTTTAATTTTCCAATTTTTGATTTCTCAATGTTTCGATTTCTCTGTTTAATTTTTCA